GCAGACCATTCGAGACTAGGTACTTCCAGTTGAAATGTGCCCATTGATTGGATCAGTCAACTAAAGACAAGTGTAGGGATATATTAGTTTAATCTCTTTGAGCCTTGTGTAAAGGGTTAGGAACAAACACTCTGAAAGAGGACATCAGTTGTGCCTTCTTAGAAATGAAGTGAGGTGAGGGGTGATGAGCATCGGGATGCCCACCAGCATTTGTACAAGTTCATCTATCACTGGAGGGCTTGGTAAGCTTGCTATTTTTCCCCGTCTTTGTTATCCTTCCTAACTTCCCCACAATACGAACCCATATGAACAAATGCCTTATGTGCTTTTATTTGACATCAGAAAAGGAACCATAAGTTGGATAGAGTTGGGTTGGAGATAGGGGCCACTCATAGTTTGTGGGTATAAAAACAAAGTTGCTCTGGATTTTCACTTTCAAGCTCTGCACAGACATGTTTTTATTTCTCCAGCAAAACATCAGGCGCTAGAATAGCTAAAATGCTTGTAAATGTATTTTCTGTTTAGCCTTTTAAGAAATATCAAGCACATTAATCACTTTTCTCATTGCTATGAAAAAATACTCTGACATAACTAGCTTAAGCAAAGATGGGTTTACTGTGGCTCACAGTTGAGGGCGCCCCTGCACAGAGGGTAGGTATAGTGGCAGGAGTGTGAGGCATGTGGCCAAATTTAACAGTTTGGAAACAGACAACATATTCTCAGGTTGCATTCTCCTTTTAATTTCTAAAATTATTTTATTTTAATTAAAATCAAGTTAATTATTTAATTAATTCTCCTTTAATTTAAGCCCCAGATCACAGTCCATGAAACAGAGCTACTTATATTTATGGTGGTTCTTCCTATATCAATTACCAATCTAGAAGCTCTCACAGATAAATAAAAGGAAGGAAAAAAAGTTGGATAGGGAATATTAAGTAGGTAACTTAAGAAATTAAAGACCTGGCTTTGATTTCTGTACCTACCCTCCCCTTTTCTGGAGAACTTTCTGGTATGATTATATCGAGGTTAATGTCAATGATCTACGCAGAACCTTTACAACCAAGGTGTTTTCTTGAGGAGCCTCTGAAGAAAAAATAATGAAAGCTTTAGGTCCTTTCACTAGTGGTATAACTTAGCAGGTGCTTCATACAGCATTGCAGACCAGCCCTGAGCACTCAAGCAGAAAAGAATTGAATTCAGGGGATCTCCAATTTCCCACAGTTACTCAGACACACTTGTTCCCACAGAGGATCACTCAGACAGAATCACATTAATGTCTACCATAAGACAGATTCTGATGCTATTGAGTGGCAGGTTCCTCTGAGATCAAAACCTACCATCTTGGAGGGAAGCTTCCTGTGATAAAAATAGGAAGGAGGTGAGACAACAGGATGTTCTAAACAGAGGGGAAATACCCCATCCTGCAGAAAAGCACTTTAAACTCAGGAAATAAACAATACAACAGCTTCAGGAAGTCACTGAAACTGAGCAGATTCACTAGACCCTTACCTTCCCAAGATATAAAAATAGGAGTGACTCACACTGAAAATGAGAAACATAATAGCTGAGCCACCTTCAAAGACATTCATACAAAGTTAGCTATCTGGAAAGGGTATGCTCCAACCTGGGAGCTACCTGTAGGCTCTGCAACACAATCCACATTTCCAGCTGTATGTGCCACCCATGCTGGCATGGCTTTGGTGAGTTCTTTCTCCTCCTCTATGCATATTCCTGTAAGTAACATCAATAAAACTCACTGGTTCACCAAGTTGTGCTTGGTGGCATACTTCCTTTGTGCTGTCATCAGTTTCATGTCCGGGGTGAGTAGACATTTTTTTCGTGTCTCCCTAGGAATAGTGTGACATGACAGGTGCATATTGAAGAACTTTGAGCAGAGAGTAATGATGTATGCAGAAAGAGCAAGTAGACTTCTTTGAAAAGGCATCTCTGACCTGGACTAGGCAAAAGAGGAATGTCCACAACTGCCTTCAGAGCAAGGCCTTCTCCATGCTTAGCAGGTGAACCATACCACTACATATCGGTGTCAACAGTGCACATTTCCACTGAGGTGCACACCTGCCACTCTATTCTGCAACCTTGGGAAATGCATCTGTGGGAGGTACCATCTGAGCTTGCACAGATGTGATGGTGAAGCAATGCAGCATATGTAAGAGTTTCTCTTCACTAGGTTGGGTGGCACAGGCAACAGAATGAGGAGTTCAGTGACATTTAACCTTAAGAGGGAATGTATATTGCATACAAGAAAGAGATAAAAGACAAACAGGAAATGATTGGGAAGAATAGGTAGGTATAGAGTTTACAAGGAAACAGCTGCATCTTTATTAATGTCTGCACATCATAGAAATCAGCTAATAAGGGAACACACTGGAGACCCATTGACACCTTTGCATTCTGTCACTGGGAACATTTTCTAGAGCAACTGGTGTGGACAACACACAGTTGACTTCAGGCATCCTTGCAAGGATGTGGCAGGAAAATGAGAGGGAAGTAAATGCTGAGCTACCAGCTCTTTTCCTTCCTTCTTTCTTTAATATTAGTAGTCGTAGCGTGTATGTATGAATGCATATGTGGAGGTCAGAAGACAATTTCATGAGCTCACTTACCTCCTTTTAACTTTATGTGGGTTCCAGGAGTTGAACTCACAGGGCAAGCAAATGCCTTTTTACAGTGTAACATCTTGTTGGTCTCTGTAAATCTTAACTGCCATGGTATTTAAGATACTTTTACCTTTGACTCCTAGGACTCCATGCATATACAACCATTCCTAATCTGTAGGAGGAAGTCTGATGCCGCCATTAAACATGTGACTTACTAAGTCTATGCCGCCATTAAACATGTGACTTACTAGAGGCGCATACAGATGAGGTAATAAAAGGGCGGTTTACCACACCGCTAACCACACCCACTTTAGGCAGGACTAAAGACGTATACGGCTGGACGTAAAGACGTATACGTACGTAGGCGGAACTACGTCACTAGCCAAGCCCACTTTTGGGCATGGCTAGGGGCGTTACGGGGGAAGGCATAAAAGACAGCGCACAGGAAGTCTCACTCTCTTTTCCTGGAGTTCGGCTTCCGGTCCAGTTGCTAGCTGAGATCTGCTGGGCTTCTCTGGGTTTGGTAACTTGTGAGTAATTTTCTACATAAAATACTTAGCGTTACTTTCAGTAATTGTGTGTCGCGTATCGTTACAGTGTCCGTTGAAGCCAACACTAATCTTCATTTTTATCATTGAATTAGACTTTTAAATGTAGCATACGTGTAAAATTTCAAATGAATCAAAGCATTAATAGATTTAGTTGACAAAGACTTGGGAAGTGGAAGACAGAGTTAGGTAACAGACAGACTAGACATTCCTGGCAAGGTTTATCTTCAAAGCTAATAATAAATGTGCCCCAAATTTCTGTTTTTCTGAACAAATTACAAAACTAGTATTATCTTACTTTAAAAATCACTGTAGTCTACTATGGAAGGAAATAATAATCTTATTTCACACAAAAATTTCACACCTCCATAGGGAAGAGCCCCTGATTCTCCTAATTTAGAATTCAAGAGCTTGTGTCAGTATTCTGACAGGGGATAGCTTATTGGAATGGAAGTTTTAGGAAACTTCCCAAAACATAGTACTTACAAGTCAGAGCTCCTATGAGGGGCTAGACATCACACTACTCGATGTCAACTTGCTAAACCTTCACCATTGCCTCTCAGGCAATTTCTACAACATACAGTCAGTAAAGACACAATTTAGTGCCCTTGTAAACTCCACACCTACCCCATTCTTCCCAGTCATTTCTTGTTTAAAGTACAGCACATGGTCTATATTTTATCTAAGAGAAGATAAGTTTACTCAAATGCTAAAAAACATTTTCCAAAATTTCAAACCTGGTGAAATTCTAACTTAAGCTTTTCCAAACAGAAAGTCAGATATATTTGTTAGTAGATGGCCAAATATTAAATCTAATTGCCTTTACACCCTTCAGAATCTGTAAAATGTCAATCTTCCTATAACCTAAACCTCCAATTGAAGTACTTTGCTACTAGGAAGCTAGAAGTTTGCCACCATTAATATGCATACATATGAAAATTTCATATAAATACACAATGAGATACATATTATTTTTGAGGTTTTCATACATATATAAAACATGATCATTCACACTCCTCTCCCCCCTACTCCAGCTTCCCCCATAACCTCCCCAGTGTATGCAGAACTCCCTCCTGAAATAGAATAACAGCGATTGGCTTCATAAAGTTGTTTTGAAGGTAAGTGAGATTTTTTTTTGGTTTTTATGAGACAGGGTTTCTCTGTATTGTTTTCGAGGCTGTCGGTCCGTCCCAGCCTCGAACTCACAGAGATCCACCTGCCTCTGCCTCCCGAGTGCTGGGATTAAAGGCGTGCGCCACCACCGCCTGGCAGTAAGTGAGATATTTATTGGCACATCACAGACATTCAATGTGTAGTAACCTCTTGAGTGTCAGCTCTTTCCCCTTGGTCCAAGGTGAGATGTGGAGTTCTGGATTATTCTTTGGCTGTATAACACTTCGACTCTTTCTCTTTCTATCATACGTGGACTTTTGCTTAAGAGTCCAAAGCCTCCAGTCTCAGCCATCTTGTTCATACACTGTGCTATCCACATTTCAGTTTTTTAAAGAATTTACTTATGACATGTATTAATCACAATATTTGAACAGTGAGGCAAATTTGAAGATATATATCACTGTAATGGAACATCCAGGGTTGCTAATACTTATGTCCAGGCTCATTTAGTCTTCACAAAAACCTGATGAAACTGTTTCTTCATTATAATATTAGGGGTGTGAGAGAGCATGTTAATGATACAGCACATGGTTGGCCAGTGTGAGGCCCTGAATCTGATCCACAGTATTAAAAAATAAAAATAATGGTAATTATTCCAACATTTTTCTGATTCTATTAGAGGACACACATTTATATATGTGTGTGTATGTATGTGTGTGTTTGTGTGTGTGTGTGTGTGTGTGTGTGTATAGAGGGATGTGCTAGCTTTCCCTCTGTTATAAAAAGCCTAAAATGAGCAAGTTCAAAGAAGAAATATGTGTTTTGGCCCAGAATCTTACAGGTTCCAAGTCCTGCTCTCCTGGTTGCATTGCTGTAGTCCTGTGAGGAGGCAAAGCATTATAGTAGGAATACAGTACCGTGATGGCCCAACAAGAAAATGAAAGAGAGAGGAAGGGCCTGGAAATCCAATCCCCTCTTATAGGCAAATGCCACAAAACCCAACTCCACACAACAGGCCTCATCTCTTCTAGTAGCCCAACTTGCAGCCCAAACTAATGCATGGGAGTCATTACAGATTGAAACTATAGCAAGGGGATGAGTCACTCAGGTTACCTAGCTGGTGTTAGAAGAACCGACCAAGTGAATTCATAGGCCAAGCCCACAAGCCTTATGTGGCAGCTATTAGCCTTAATTGGGTACCGTGGTACCTTAGGACGATTAACACAAGAAGCACTGGGACTTTCTGGGCTGGTAGACAGAATCCCATCATCCTCAGCCCCTCAGTTTTGTGCAGACATGCATGCAAGTGTGCTGTTTTTCTTTGCCATCCACTGATAACAGCACGCTAGAGACCATGCTCCCCCAGATCTTCTTTCCTTCAAGATGGATACCAAATGCATATGGCATTGTGGCAACCTTCATCCCTCCATCATCTAAGTACCTCTCTCCCTTATCTGACAGGAAGGTCCCCTACCCCTCACTCGCTGTTAGAAGAGGAAAGACTTACCAGCAAACAAGATAAAGAAACAGTTCCCTCCGTGGTTTCCTGTACTCCGAGGTTGACCACATCTTTTTCTGGTACTCAGTCTTCTGCCTCTAGAAGACAGCAGAATAATTTTACACTTTTACCTTAAAGAGACATCACAACATCTTTTACCTTTCAAATCTGCAGCTGGATATAGTTTACTCCCCCCACCCTAGAACTGAAAGGAACTGTTGTTAAAAGCAGCCTGATGGTTCACACAGTTTGCTTATATGTACATGGTGGACAATGGAGAATTATGTATGCTTCTAGGAAATGCATTTTAACCTTTGATAGTTCTTATTGCTAGAAATTTCTTTCCATCTCACTCAAAACTACCTTTGTCATGCCCTATTGTTTCATGGGTTATGTTTTCTGAAAAACCATCAAATAAACTGAATTCCACACAGGCTTTATATTTGTGGGTGATGGCTATACAAAACCAGCACTCGGGAGGCAGAGGCAGGCGGATCTCTGTGAGTTCGAGGCCAGGCTGGACCGATAGCCTCCAAAACAATACAGAGAAACCCTGTCTCGTAAAAACCAAAAACCAAAAAAAAAAAAAAAAATTATATCTGGAGAGGGTCACTTCCCACTACCTTGTTCAGAAAATAAGTCAGTTCTTTAAGTTGAAGAAAGTAGGCAGCAGTTGTAAATATATCTGTTTTCTTTACTATGAAGGACTGATAATTTACATTCCTGTCTGAAGAGAATTAGTGGGTCAATTAGTTTATAGCCAGTTCCAAATTCCTCAAGCCCTCATCCACAGATGGAACCCAGTGCCTTTCTCTCTTCTTGCCCATGGCTATGCTGACTGTGGCCTTCACTACTAAGCCCTTTTTTTGCCTTTTTTTGTTGTTGTTGTTGTTGCTGGTTTGTTTTTCAATGTTGTTCGCTGATACACTGTTTAGTTAATAAAACACAGTGTTATATCTTTATAAGAAAATGATGATCCTTCAAGAACAAAAACTGTCAGAGCCAGTAATAAACGATAGTAGTTCAGAACTTTGGAGGTCTGAGGACCATCAGTTTGAGGCCAACCTGAGCTAAGTAGGGAGATCCTGCTTCTATAACAAATTCTCCTATGCTACAAAACTACCCCATAGACCACATTCTTTGACATTGTATTTTGAAAATAATCTGCGAATTGTGGAAAAACAAAGGTCCAATTTGAATACATCCTTAGCCAAAAGGTTAACCATAAACTTGTAGCTAAAAAAATGGATGTTTTCTAACCATTCACACAAGAGGCCAGGGAGTTGGTTCAGTCAGTAAAGTGCTTGCCACAAAAGCATGAGGACTTGATTTAGATACTCTGGGACACATGTACAAAGTTAGTGTGCTGTTTGGTATTTATCATACATAGAGGCTTATTCTGACTTATAAATGCCTGGCCTCAGATTGCCTTGTTTTTTTGCCAGCTTTTCTTATCTTAAATTGCCCATACTATCTTTTGCCTCTGGGCTTTTTTCCTTTTCTCACTTCTGTCTATCTGCTTTCACTCTTACTCTGGGGCTGGCTGGGTGACTGCCTCTTCCCCGTTCTATCTTGTTCCTTCCTCCCAGATTTCTCCACCTATCCTTGCTCCTGCCTACTATTAACCACACACTATCAGGTGTTTTAGCTAGGCGAAGTAGCACAGCTACACAGAGTTAAGCAAATGTAGCATAAACAAAAGCAACCCATCATTACATTGTTAAACAAATGTTCCAGAGCATAAACTAATGTAACACACCTTAAATAATATTCTACAACACTGTAGCAAACATGTACTGGGGATAAAATTGGAGAATCCATAATACCGGGTTGGCCAGCTATTCCATCTTAATCAGTAAGGTCTAGTTTGTGTGGGAGACCGTGACTCAAAAACTCAGGTGGAGAGTGACTGAAAAAGACATTTGTCCTTAAGATCTGGCCTCTCCTAAGTAGTGGTAAAAATGCCTTTAATTCTAGCACTCAGGAGGCTGCAGAATACTGATTTCTGAGTTCAAAGTGAGCCTGATCTACAAGATGAATTCAAGGGCAACGAGGCGTACACAGAGAAACCTTGTCAAAAAACAAAAACAAACAAATAAAACACAAAACTGACCTCCATTTGCATGCGCACACATGTACAGATGTATCTAACACACTCAAACACAGGTGTATACAGAAACATGCAAACACAGACACAGTGTAAAACAATCATCCATGCTGTTTTTTAAGGAACTGTATTCCTTTTGACCTTCAACTAGTCAAGAAATTCCAATCATACTGAAGCACCTTTTAAGTAGTTTCTTTTGTTCACTGAGAATATATAAGCACATCCCATTCTGCATGGTCCCAGAGCCACTTAGACAGTACACCCACCCACACTGCCAATGGGTTCAATGTTTGGTTTCCATTAGACAAAGCTGAGATGGACACACCTTCAGAACATAAATTTAGAAGGCAGTTCCTTTCTTCAAGAGTTAATAAGGTTAAGAGAGGAACCTCACTTGTCTGGTAGACTAGAAAGAATTCAGGTGACAAATAAAGAAGGCACATTCCATGTCCCTGTTACTGAGCAGCTCCAGTTTGAGATTAGATGGGGAGCAGGTCTGCTGGAGAAGAAGGTACAGTTTTACATCAGGTGTCAGGGAGGTGTTAATTCTGAGGATTGTTCCAGATACCTCCAGTTCAATGCAACCTTAAGTGACAGAAAACACTCTTTAAAAATTGTATTAGTACAGCATCCCAATCAAGGTCCCCAAAGAAAGTTACCTGACTGAATTGGAACAGCCCTATCAAGATGCCTTGAGTATGTCAGCTGCTCTACATAGCAAATATGGCATTTTCGCTTCCCCAGCTTCTCTACCCACAGTTCCTCAAACCAAGGTATCTTCCATTAGGGTGTCTTTGCTCTCTTTTGAAGCCATTTTGCAGCTCATACCCTAGCACATGAATGACAGCCAGGACACACTATTCCAAATATGAACAGTCTTTCTTTCTTGAAGTTGAACAGCCTTGCCAGTCCTCTGAAGATGTTCCAGGGAGCCGGGGATTGTTCCAGGTGTTACATGTTGTACTTGCATTTTAAAAAGCTTGCCATCTGAGTTATCAAGCTCTTTTGTAGCATGCTGGGTTATCCTAATGGGAACAGAAAGAGATGAGAAACGCCCTTCCACAAGTCCAAAATCCCATCTGAATGCCAAAATTGACCATGAATGTTTTCTTTCAAAATGGTAGCCACTGCCTACCACCATTTCCCAGTGGAGTTTCACTGTACCGGCTCAGAAATGACTGACTGAAAGCACTTTGTTGGCTTCTATCTTGCTGGTAGTTCTCCCGGTAACAGTCCCCTCTGAATTTGTGCTTTCTGTGAGCCTTTGAAGATTGACAACATAGGTGTAACATCAGTTACAGAAATGTCCAGTGAGCTACACTGTCATTCAGCGGCGGGAAAGAATGAGATGTGTTTCCTTTTCTAGAGAAACCAAGAGCTAACTCCTAGTCAGAGAACTTCCTTGTCAGCCAGGCTTGGTGATGAGGTGCTGTAAACCCTGCATCTAGGAATTGGATACAGGAGGTTTAGAGCCAGTCACAGAAGAACACATTCTAGGATACTAGGGTAGGCTACAAGAGACCGTGAGGAGGGAAACAAGAAAAGAAATATAAATCCTTCTCTTCCTGCAGCCTGGAGATTCCAGAATTTTTTCCCAAATGAGGCAGGAGCCCTGAGTTCTTTGGAGAAAAGAAATGGAATGATTGAATGTGGCAAATGAAAAAATTTGTTGTTCTCTAGTAGAAATGCAGCTTTAAAATTACTTATCTTTAATCTTAAATCTTTGTCTTCGGGAATTTAGAGGTCACAGACACTCTTGATTACCCGCGAGAGCAGGAACATACTGTTATGACAAACTTAACAAAAAGAATACAAAATGTCCGACCAAGAAGTCATTTTTCATATTAGGATATATATACAAGTATTTATATATGAAAATACATGAGTATAAATATATATCATTTTTTCTATTTTTGAAAACTTTATAGTTCTATGTCAAAGAATCCCTGAGCAAGGCTATAGTATCACAGAATCCTAGAGTCTCCCCTGTGGGTAAATATATGAAATAGTCTTGAAATATTTAGGCATATGAATTATCAAATTAGAGTACTTGGGGAAAAGTTTTTCTTTTATTATTTGGCTACTTTTTTCCCAATAGATGCAGAACAGTCTTGAAATATTGCTCAATTTTCTAATTACATCATTATTTAATAATGAACTTTAAGTGTCTTGTATTGAGTTATTTTAAATTCACTTTAAAGTTGAGAGGTTTAATTTAAATCCTTGCAATTAATTTTTTAAATAAAATACTCAAATAAGCTTCCGTTGACAGTATTTAAGCATATTAAATGTCTAAACTTAGGTTTACTCTGGGCAGAATCATAGAAAATTTTAGATAATTTTTCCATTTGTGGTCACAGGAGTAAACGATTAAATCTCTGTGTGTTGTAGTTTTTAATGACCTACTTCCTACTTAACAGGTATTCAGAAACACATCTTGTGATCTACATAATAAAGAAAGGTTCACAGTTTGAAATTCTGAGGCAATGTAGGTACAAAAAAAGTCCTGTTTAACTCCATGTGGTGGTTAGTCTGCAGAACGATTTCACCAGACCTTTAGGAAAAGCCACCCACCTTTCTGTAATTGAGACAAGCGGATACCTTGGGTGGTCACTTAAATGTTGATTCTTGTCACATTATTTCTCACCATTTCTTTTGATTTTTTTTCTCCTGGTTTTAGTTCAGCTCCCCAGCAGCACCCCATGAGGTGACTTCAGCATGATTATGAAAAGAAAGGCTAAAGTGGGCACTATTTTCATTCCCATTGCAATCATGGGCCCATGAATAGATTCTTGATCTGACACTTTCTATTCTTATTGCAATCTTTGTCACAAGAATAAGTTTTTTTTCTTTAAAAAAATGTTTCATCCATGCTGTGAATTCTGGCAGCAAGGGCTATGCCTTTGACCTTTCTAATGTCCCTCCACCTGATTGGGCAGTCATTTCTCTCTCTTCTTTTAACTGCATTGGCAACTTAGGAGAAAGCTAGAATAGCCAGTCAATCAAAATGAGTCTATAAAAGGTTAAAGCAGAATAGTTTACCATCTTTCATAGATAACACCAGCCATTGAGTTTCCTGAATCCTGTTCTTGGAACAAAAAAAAAGTGGCAAAGAAACAGAAAAAGGCACAACATGAATCCATTCTCATGACAACAATTGTACAAGATGAAAACTAGTACAAATAGCCAATTTCTCTTCTAATCTGAAACATGGAACCTTACAACACCATGGCTATAGCTCCAGTTTCTTTCAAGGCACTGCAAAAAATCTTTTTCAATTAATGAATTAACACAAATGCATCCCATCATGGGGAAGCACCAGTCACAGGTTACCCACAATCCACAATGAATTGATCTCCACTCATTGCTATAAAATGCTTCTGCATTATCACAATGGGAAGTACTCACACCCAGTGTACTAAATTTACCAGTAATAAACTGTTTCTGATTTGTTGAGTGGCTCATTTTTATAATCTCAAAAACAAATGAGAGTAAAACATTTGATAGAAAAGAATATCACTGACATTGAATAAATTCAAAAACATATATTAATTGGTCTAAATTGTTGGTGTCCATTTAATAAGGCAGAATGAATTAGCATTTTGTTGACTGGTTTAGGTGCTGTGCTTCTCAGAAATGCTGATACTGATTCTGAGAGATCATGAAGCCTGGATAGTCCACACTGACATTCCAAGAGACCAAAAGGATCATCAGCGCTAAACTGAGTATTGTGGAGTAAGCCTGAATCCCAGCACTCAGAATAGGGAGGAAGAGGCTATCCTGGGTTATAGAACAAGACCCTGTTTGTTCACAAATAAATGAATAAATAAATAAATAAGCAAATAAATCAACTCAGTTCGCTTTTAACAATATGCTTCTGTTTCAAAAGCAATGCAAAGTTATATTTTAAAAAATCAATCTAAACCAAGTTTTTTTTTTTTTTTGGTTTTTCGAGACAAGGTTTCTCTGTGGCTTTGGAGGCTGTTCTGGAACTAGCTCTTATAGACCAGGCTGGCCTCGAACTCACAAAGATCCGCCTGCCTCTGCCTCCCAAGTGCTGGAATTAAAGGCGTGCGCCACCAACGCCCGGCCTAAACCAAGTTTTTAACCAAGCTTGCTAAAGGTTTTTGCATGCTTGGTTTTGTTGTGTTCCTTTAGTGTGTTCAGTAACTTTGGATGAAACAGTCAATAGATAACCTATGTAGCCAATCACTCATCTTCAATCCCTGTGGATTTTCTCAAAATTTTGGGGTTTCTTTTTCTCTTGTGAGTTTGTTATCTCAATGAAACTCATAGGAGTTCATATGGAGATGATTTATAATGAGCATTCCTTCTAGTCCTCTGGGATGGGCTTATTAGGAGGAGATTAGGATGATTAACTCACCCTGAGCATTTAGCTAAAGCAAGTGATGACTGAATCTAGCCTGGAAAACTCTCTTAAACACATTAACAATACTTTTGCTAGATATATTTATAACAAATCCAATACTTGGCTCCTGGTGGTCTTTTAAATAAAACTTTCTTTTTCCTCCTGATAGACACTCTTAACTAGGAAAAATGTGAGTCATTGAGAAGGAGGATGTATCTTTCTCTGGTCCTTGTTTTGGGGCCATGAAATACGTAATTTCTATTAGGAATATAAATTTTGTTCATGCATTTGCCTCAAATATACTATGCCATGGGCATTCCAGGGCAGGATTAAGAATACCTTATGGAGATCAACAGAAGTTAGGTCAAAGCTCTAGGTATCTCTGTACACATGAGAAATAAGAGAACTCCTCTGAAATTGACAGAGGTCAGGTCAAGCTCCACAACTATTGTATAATCACTGGAAGAGAGGGGTTACTTTCAAAGGCCACAATAAAATTACTCATTTATTGCAGCTGACTGGTGTCTCAGTTAATATCCTTTAGACATTATAAAATCTATATCCCAGGATTCAAGTCTGTCATTTTCTTGTTCCTCCTGGAAAGACATATTCCCCTTTGAAGTGCTCTTTGCTGTTACAGTTTGAATATTCCATTTTGACTATTTTAGTATTCTTAATATAAGGAGCCTTACTGCTTATAGCTTTTCTTCATTAGATGAAAGAATGGGCTGGCTCAGAGAATTTGCTGTTTTTAAATTTGAAATTGTATTTTTGAAAGTAATAATGAAAGTATAAAACTTCACTTTAATAAAACAGATACGCATGATTTTTTAGAAACACAAAATATGGTTTTGTGGTTTTCCTTAAATTAAAAATTAAAAGGAGGAAATCCAGGGAAATAGTCAGCCTACACCTCACTGGGTGTAGGATTAAGAGGTAGGTCTGCTCCTTTGGTACAACTTGATAAAAAGGTGTTCACTCTGCAGCGAATGCTGTATGTCATTTCAGGTGAAGCTATCATTAGTAGAGATTGGTTTCCCTGAAGTCAAAGTCACATTAAACACACACACACACACACACACACACACACACACACACACACACACACCAACTTCTACCTCTACTTGCTATCATTATTAGCTATGACTGGGTTCACAGAGAGAACTATAACACAGGAAGTCAGACTGGCAAGGATCAGATATTCCTGGTGTGATATTTGGGTTGAACATTCATGTCTCAGACACCTTCATGGTGAAACTTACATATTTAGGACTAGAATCAACTTCATGATGGTGGGAAAATACAGAGACTGGAGAGGGATTTGATGATTTTTTAGCAGCATGCAGTTCCCAATGTGGTCTTCCATATGTTCTTTAGGTTAGGCCAAATTTTTTCTACTTTTAAATTTAAAAATAGTTGTTTTTGTCTCTACCTCAAATCTTAAGTAATTATTCTTTATATAATTATATAACTTTCAAACTTTCCATGACACTGTCAGACACCAAGTCTACCCCTTACTTGGGATACACCCATTTAGACATAGCACATAGAGAGCTAAGACAATCCCAGGAGGCCAACAGTGAAAGCATTCAGTGGTGATCATTAAAGGCTTCAGAATGATGTCCTATCAACTGAGGCCCTAAGAGAGAC